GTATAAATTAAGAATTTCCCTACGTTCTTTATTACGAAATATGATTTATTTTCAATATTTTTCTATAAAAGATTTATATCTCTTGGGAAAATGATCCGCTGATTTCGGAATTCAATTCTATTTATAATTGCCCGACACCATCTTTCAATCGATATCCTAAATGATATACGAAACATCAAAAGTTTTGGATTTCGAGAAATAAAGATGCATTTTCAGATTTCTGATAATACTCTTCGCTATTATGCAAAATGATTTCATATTTAAATATTTCCCGATAATTATATTTCTTTGAAAATAAAATTAAAATCAAGTCCTTTATATCTATCACTCCATCAGGAGAAGAATTATATTCTTCCCCAATAGATCAAAATTGAATTCAGCTATAACTTATTTCAGCTTAATTCGGAAAATCGACTTCACGCCCTCGAATAAGATTAAAAAAACTCGTGAGGCCAGTACTAGAGAATATAATTAAAAATATAATATATAAATTCTTTCTCGAAAGATCCTAGAATACGAAGATATCGGAATGAATAAAAGAAAAAATAGAAATTATATTTTTAAAAATTTCAGAAATTTATTTAGATATTCATATATAAAAAATATTTCTATAGTCATAAACCTATATATATCTAAATTTTCGATGAAATAAGAATTTTCTAATTATTTCGATATATCTATATTTTAATATCCTTAATATTATTAGATACGAAAAATTAATCTCCCCTTATGATTTAGTCTTTTTCAACGTATCGTCGTGAAAACCTATATTATATATTATGGTTCTTGAAATTTTTGATCGCACGAATGTTTCTCGGCGGAAGACCTAATTATCGAATATGGTACATATTTAATGAAACCAAGTATGTGGTTCGATCTGTTTACCATCTAGATTCGTATCGGTTTCGTATCTGATTCGTATCCGTTTCGTATTTGATTCGTGTCTAGATTCGTCTCTATATTTAGATTCATAGAAGATTCGATCTATTTCGGATCTGGATTCCTATCTATTTCTTGAAAATTAATGATTTATATAAATTTTAATTTTTCTCTCGGTTTTTCTCTCTCTCTCTCTCTCTCTCTCTCTCTCTCTCTCCTATCTTCTATCCCTCTATTCTCTCTTTTTCTGCTACATCCATCTCTACATACAGGTCTCCTAAAAATTAGCCAGGGTCAAGCTGAACGCTGGGATGAAAGCCTTTTGCATGCACCTGTTGATACCAGGATGTGTAGCTGCCTGCAGATTTTACAGAGAGAGAGCCGCAAATCATGTCCAGCAGAAGCCGCATGTTTCACCGACACACCCCGCGCAGTCTCACTGAAGCTACTGTCTTACAACGCCCTAACTCGATTCTGATTTCTCACAGTATACATCAAGTCGGTCTTTCAGATGATTGTTGTGGCGGCTTCAGGTTCAGAGTCTGGGAGGGTTAATGAGGGTTAGGCTCAGTCCGGGATAGGAGATCTGGAGGTTTCCCTCAACACAGGATCCATTCGGAGCGGAGCATTGAGATGTAGAACTTCTTTATCAATATCCTGTTAGCTCAAGTTCTCATTTCGATTGTCACGCCTGCTTCGTCGCTCTTGTCGAGGTTTCTGTCCCAATCCCCGGTGCGCCTCGTCTTGAGGCTCACGACCCCTGACTGGGAAGAAGACCTATTTATGTACATGTACGTGTGTTCCGGCAGGCTTGCCGCCAGAAACCTCTGTGCCAAAGAATGCTGACTGAACTGCATCGCAGAAACAGCGGGACGCTGCCCCAACTCACGTATCCGATGATAAAGCCAATGTGCCAGGAAGGCATACATCGTCTGAATCGCCTTGCTGTTTAGCTGCTGGCTGCAGCTCTTTGACAGGAATCTTCAATTCATTCTTGGACAACCATGGCGAGACGTCTCTTTCTGTATAAGGGTAGCCCTTGCGCTCAAGCCACGCAACCTGGGAGTGTCAGAGCTTGAGGAGCATACGCTGAAAGAAGAAGCATAGTATAGCAGGGTATAGGGACCCTCAAAAACCAGTTTAAAGCCTACTATGCATGTCCTAGAGCATCCTAATTTCGTTATACAGTTACACAATCGGAGACCATCTTCCTCCCCTTAAAACAAACCCTAAACCCCTAAACCCCGAAGTTTGCACAAGCGTCACCTCAGCTTTCTGGGAATTCCCCAAACCTTCGGCAGCTTCCAGAAACTCGGAGTCAGCTGAAGGCAGCCAGGCCAAAAAGAGTCTCGGAGGTTCGTGTTGAGCTTTGCTTAAAGGTTTAGGGTGATTTAGGGATTCTGCTTACGGCTTTGACGGTTTAGGTTTCTGTTTTTGATCTCCTGGTTTAGGGTTTAGGGCTGAGGCTTTAGGATTTGGGGTTAGGTTGGGGCTGGAGTTTGGGAGTCGGCTTTTTTCGGGTTTAGGGCCGCGGAACCTAAGGTGCCACGCTTTAGGCGCAGAATATGGCTCACTAGAAATTACTATCCATAATTCCTGGAACCTTGCAGCCAGACGACCCTTTCGCATGCAGGCCTACAGAGGGTGTTCCAGACAACCCTAAAGCCCGAAGTGTTTAGGGTTTAGGGTTGAAGGTTTGGGGTTTAGGCCCAAAGCCTTGCCCCTATAGATCCTTGAATGAAGAAGCTCTGTCAGCAAGAACCCTGTTGCCGCTGTGCTCTGGGTGTCAGCGAGCGAGTCCACCCACGATCTGAAGCTCAGCGCTCCCTATACCGAAAACCCTGTGGATCCTTAACATGAAGCTCTTAAGGGTTCTAGGGCTTCGTAGAGTTTCGTAATCGGGGTTTCGTAGGGTTTAGGGTTTAAACCCGATGGATCCTTAACATGAAGCTCTTAAGGCTACTAGGGTTTCGTAATTAGGGTCCTTATGAACAAGAATCTAGGAGCCGCTTGAGCTCGCGGCTGTAGGAGGATGAGCCATCCCCACGGCATTTCTTGGAGAGGCCCCCCAGACCCGCATCCACAGCTTCCTTAATTTGAGGAGTCTTGTCTCCTACGTTTCATTTGAGGATTGAAGGTTTTTGGGTGTACCAGTACCGTTGAGTTTGGGGTAGGGGCTTTAACCGTTTCAAAACGGTTCCGGGAAACGTTTAAAAGGGCTCCTTTGAGGCTCCGTGAAAGCTTAAGCGCAAAGGATCCGTAATACACAGAATGGGGGTTTGGGTTGTCGTGCTATATGGGTGGTTGTCAAAACTAGAGTCCCTTTTTGGGTCCCTGAATATTAGGTGCCGTATAAAAAATAGGGACCCAAAAAGGGACCATAACCTTGATAACCCCCCATATGTTTTTGTTAAGGCGGCGTAGGGAATGGTAGCCGTAATGATTCAAGCTTCCTTGAACTGCTGCGTCTCTTTGAACTCATCCAAGCGCCTGTTCAGCGTCTCCCTGCGGAGGTGCTCCTGTAGGTTTGTATTCACCTTAAACCCTGAATCCTTCTTGACGGGGGACTTTAATTCGTAAGTTACCAGAATAAGGGAACCATATTGTTTTCTAAATCCCTGAGGAAACCCCATATATAAATTAAGAAACCCAACCTTTAAGTTCTCTTACCAGCACCCAGTCCTGGCCGGCTGTGGAAAAGCTCTGCGCCTTACCCCTGCCTACGTGATCCACGAAGTAATAGACCACCAGCTCGGCCTCCTTCTTCACGGCCTCCTGGGATATTTTTTGGAGTCTTGGGTTGTTCGCCAGAAGAGGTTTAGAGATGGTGTGCTTGGGGTCGACCCATAGCCGCAAACCCCACGAAATAGTTGAATATGCTCCGCAACGCAAAGTATAAGGGTATAAGCCACAAGTAATGGTGTTTGGAAAGTCTAGATATGGACTCGCTCACTCGCACACTACAGGCACGGCTTCATGAGGGTTCGCTTGCTAGTCTAGATTTAGATACCTTATTTGCTAGAACTCCATCCTCGATGTTCGCAATCCAATGGCTCCACCAGCGGCAGCCCCACAGCTTCTGTTCGCCATAGAGGGGCACGCACCAGCACTCTCCGACGATGCCTTCGGCTTCGGGAATCTCAGCGTGATGCCCGAAATCCGCAGTACCATCCGGCAAGAACCTCAAGGATACGCGCGGGAGCTACTCTAACACCTCAGGGATCCTGTTTGAGGAGTTTGAAGATGGTATTGCGTAGGATTCATCCATATTCTGTCCCACTGCTCCCACATTGGTTTTCAGAGCTATCATAGACCATGACAAAGACTATGACTATGATGTATGCCAGAATGTGCTACATTTTCTGTAGTTTGCGGTGTGTATATATATATATATATGTATATACTTTATATACATACATAAATATGTATATATACATGTGTATATATATATATAGATAGACAGACAGATAGATAGATAGATAGACCGTGCGGCAAGACCGCACCCCAATGAAGCCACCCTGCCAAAATTTTCGCCCGGATTTTCATGCCCCTGCCAATCGTGAATTCTAGCTTCAATGCCCCTTCTCCACAAACTTCAAGCTAATGTCCTAGAAATTCAATATGCCATCAAATACAGATCATGCTTATCAATATACATGTAGAAATAAGTTCTGCGCCAATAGTCTTGGTACATACTGCCATAAGCATTGACTTATTAACTCATGGTGCAGCATAATTACGATATGTACGCTAAACCGGGAAAAACCTGATGCAGTTTTCCATTCGGGCTTGGGAAGTCGGCCGGAAAAGGGACACAACCTAAAGCCCTAAGCCCCAAACCATGTCTTAACCTTTCCCAAATCGTGAAGGAACACGACAGCCGCGCTGACATCCCCATTCCGGCTGGAGGAGACGAGGGAATCCCAGGCGCCCTCATACTTTCCAGGCCATGAACCTTGTTGTTTGAGGGTCAGGGTTTCGGATTGTGTGTCCTGCAGGGTTCAGAGTATGGGTTTGGCATATACTACATATACATCTCTAGAACCGTATGAGTCAGTACACAAGACAAAATAAGGTCAGATCACAGTACAAAGTCATCGTATGTAAATACTAGATAGTGCTACTTACCAGTATGTGTGCCGTATCTGGACCCGTTCGTACATGGCATTACATAGCAGCACGTAGACGGTCTGCCGTTATTGCTGTAGGTTTCCAAGTGGATGCCATCATTGCGCGATTGTGGTGCAAATGCTACACCTGCCTTGTCTGCGTACCAGATTTTCTCTTGCCGCAAGTGGCCTTATTCTGTGTGATGTGGCTGTAACTAAACGGTAGTACTGTTGGTGCTATCCCTGCTGTCCGTCTTCCTCATGCTTGGTGATCGCATCATCATTGCAGAGTTCTCTAGGATTGAGAGTTCCGGGTTGAAGGCGTGATGGTCTGTCTGCGAACATTTCTGAAAATATGGTTCCCACTAGGTTCGATGTAGCATGCTGATCCTTCTACCTGCAGGTTGTGAAAAAGGATCCCTATCTCGGGACATGGCACACAAAGTCATAGGTTTTTCCCAGAGGCCATGCAGCGCGATTGTCAAAAGCTTCAGAAGGCATATGATTGTTGATCACACGACTTCGCAACTAGGTCACAAGCAAGTACGGAATCAGATTAGGGGACCGGACGTGCAGCCCACGACACGAGGCGGAAAAGCCTGTGCTCGCTCATGTATATAAACCCTTGTGCCTGTTGATGTATAAAAACCATTTTTTGAACGAGGTATCTCTGAAGCGCCTCCTAAAAACCCTTCCCTCCTAAAACCCAAACGCTAATGCCTAAATCGTCCCAGGAACACACGCATGGGCGCCCCGCCCCTTCCAGCACAGAGCCTTCAAAGACAATGGTGCGCTGAAGGACCTCCTGGCGTGCTTGTTGCTGCTCCTTGTCTTGCATTTCTTGCTCCTCGGCGGTCAAGTAACACCCCTCTTCGGCCTCCACTTTGGCACCGTAGATCCTGGATCACAGTTTACAGGGAGCAAAACCATTCTATATGGGTACCGCTACAACCAGACGGAAATCAAAGAAGCTCCGAATCGCCACCTAGTATCACGCAGGTGTTGACACAGCAGGTCAGGGGCCAAACAATGAGTGCGGTCCACCAAAACCCAGCCAAGCTATGGTGCATTGTCAAAGCCGCCAGTGCTATGACGCCGAGGGCAAAAGACAAGAATGCGACTCTCACGATGCAGTTGGAGTGCTTGCCGTAGCGGAAATGGTCGACGCGATCCCCTGTTCCATGTAGGAACGTACACATGCTGAGGAAGCAACCGAGCAGCAAAGCGAAGGAGCCCAGCAAAGCAGCAGCCAAATCATCGTGCGGCGGGAAAGCTGCGGCGAAAATCAGCAGGGCTACCGGGATCCCGAAGCCGACGGACATTCTCCGGTAGACGGGTAGGATATCGATCTTCTTGTCTCTCAAAACAGCAGCAGCTTGCCTGGTCTGGGCATCTTGGCATCGTCGAACCTGGTCTCCACATGGTTTGAGGAGAATAAGGCCGAAAGGTTCGAGATTTAGGACCCGCAAGCCTCAACTCCCCTGTATCAACCAAAGCCTAGAGCGTAGGTGTTTGCACCTCCACCCGGCGCTGCTCTTCGTGGGCTGCAGCCTCTTCCTCCTCCTGATCCTGAGCTTTCACGCAAAGGAACTTAGGGCTTCTGGCGGGAGAAGGCTTACTTACCTAAACCTCCCAAAGTAGACCGCATAATGGCCCAATACCCATAAAAGGCTATTATTCTACATACTTTTGGGGTCCAGGTAGGGCTTGAAAGGCTGAGTTAGGCTTATGAGTTGTAACGTTTGGGGTTTACTGATGGGGATTTGGGGCCAAAGGTGGCGGCGAAGGAATGGGGCAGCCTACGAAGCAGATGATTCATGGACTGATTTCAGCCAAGCCCCCTAGCAACTCATGTGAGCCGTTGCAACCCTTGGGTGCCCTAGAATCCTTTTTGCCAGAATGGCCAGGATGTCCCGAGCACTCAGTATGTACGGCGAACCCCGTCTAATTCACCTGCACATAGTGCCACGAAACCCTGTGCCAACAAATCCTTTACCCATTTAGACCACGAAAATTCAACCAGGAGCCCAAAACCACAAGCAACGGATGAACAAACAATCACCTCAGGGCCCAAAGAGAGCTCTGCAAACCCTAATTCCTGGATCCCAAACCTTGGCTTCACAAGTTCGAAGCCCGAAGGCCACCTTAAAACCAAAGGTTACACCCCAGGTTTGGTTGCAGGCAACCCTGAACCCAGACCCCCGGCAGGATCCAAAAAGCAGATCCGTTGATGGGGGCTCCTATACAGTACCCTTAGTAGTATAGGGCCCCAAATTAGGGATCTACTTTCTAGATCCTCCCGGGGGTCTGGGAGGCCTTTTCTCCGTACAAGATTTGAAGGGTTCATAGGGCCATTGGGATCCTTCAAAGGGTTCTCCTGAGTTTGGGTGCAAGATTTTGGGGAAGGTCTTGTAAGGGCTCGAGATTAGGTTCACCAGAAATAGACTAGCATAGTATGCACTATACACCCTGTTGTTGTAGCTCAACTCAAATTCCTGAAAACCAATATTGAACAACCTGTAACATGTAAAATGGAAACGTTGGCAAGCTTCCTGAACAAGAGCCCTTGCTAAAACCCACTGTCGACTCCTCGCAGAAGCCTTGAGGCACCGTCCCAAAATCCTATAACAGCCTTTTTATACTCTGCAACCAAAACAAGGGGTCACCAAGGATCTCTCCGCCTTGCCTCGCTGCCGAATTCGCTCCCGAAACTCTCAGACGCTCGGAGGGAGCCATTTGCCAAACAGCGCCCCGCGATCTTTGGTGCCTTTTGCTTTTTTGTTGTGCTGCGTTGTCGGTCTTCTTTTCTGTTGTTTTTTCAGCTTTCGCTAAGCTTTCTAGAAGGGTTTCTGCTTCTAAATCGGTTCTTCTCTTTCGTTTAGTTGAGCTTGCCTGTTGCAATGCTTCAACTTGTCGTTTTGCAGTTTCCGGATTTGGCAGTTTGAGTTTGGCATTTGTGTTTGGGTATTGCTGGCATTCTGAGCAACTTTGGATTTAGGCAGAAGTACCTCGAATTCCTGGTGCAAGCACTCCTAACCGCAGTAGTATGAGTAATCCATATGGGTAGTATGATACTGGCAGCTGCAGCAGGAGGAGCAGCAGTAGCAGCAGTGGCAGTTGCAGTAGCGGTGATGGCAGTAGTAGTAGTAGTAGTAGTAGTAGTAGTAGTAGTAGTAGTAGTAGTAGTAGCAGCAGCAGCAGCAGCAGTAGTAGCACGTGGTGGTGGTAGTAGTAGTAGTAGTAGCAGTCGCAGTAGTGGTAGTAGGAGCAGCAAGCTACTATAGTGGAGTCCCATCCTTATGCCTTAAGCCCCAGACCCAAACGCTACAGGGAACCTCTAAACCCGAGAGATGTCCCAGAATGGGTGTCGAAGCCAAGAGGTTTTGCTGCTGACCTTTTCTGTTCGGAGTCGTGCCTCGCGCAAGCGGAGCACGGCCTCCTCGGAGTTCAGAGGCAGGCTGCGGCCTTGGTATTCAGCCGATGAGTGGAGTAAAGTGCTGTTTGCGAACCCGATCCAAAATCCCAACTCGTAAACTCAAAATCGCCCCAACAGCCTACAGGCTCTACCCCTCTGCCTGCAACCCCCAAAATCCTAAACCCTAAACCCTCAAGGACCCAGTGGCCAGGGTAGACCACCTTCCAGCCGTCGCCCTGCTGCACTTCTATCGGTGCCTTCCGGCGCAGCGAGATCGTTTCAGTGTTTAGGGTGTAAGGATTCAGAGTTTGGGGTTTCGGGGTTTGGGGGTTTAAGGCTAAGGTGCAGGGGCTTTGGGGCTCAGGGATCCCTGGGCCACGAGTCCTCGAATCTGGCTTTGGGCTTGGATTTTTTGCAAAGGCTTTCAAATCGTTCTGTGAGGGTCCTAACGGGTTCAGAAATTTGGGGTTTGGGGGGGTTTGCTGTGCAGCTTGCGCATTTGTAGGGCTTTCGTGAGTAATACGTAGAAGCCTGAATTCTTACCGACATCAGTCATTTCGGGTTCCTTGTTGTAACTACTACAATATACCCCAAAACCCTGTTCGAATTATTACAGGACCCTATATTTAGGCTTTGCAGGGTTTCAGGGCTTTACGGATTTCTGGCTCGGGGCGATTAGGGGACTTCAAGGCCTTGGCTTTGATGTGAGCCTGTGCTTTGAGATAGAGGGGTGCGGGTTAAGGGTTTGGGGATTTAAGGGTAGCGTAATTAAGGTTCTTCTGTGCTAAGCTGTGTTTGCGGTGCCGAGAATCGGGGAACTTCTCTCCGAGGGAAGTTTGTTATTCTCAGGTCAGCGCATAGAACGTCGCTTGCATCTTCTAGAACCGAACAAAGGATCGAACCTGCATGTAGACCCATGGCACATGGACCTCCTCTTCTTTCATGTTTACGGACCTCAACATCAGGACCCCAAATAAGACCTTCTGAAGGGAAGAGCACGTCTTAATCCGCTGTCTACAGATGGCAAAGTCCATATGACTGCTATCCTTCGACCCGAACGCCGGGAAGGCCTTCAGGTCGTTCGTGACCGAGGCAACATGGGTGCATGCCATGGCTGGGTGTCATGCCGGTTTACATAGGGTTTAGGGTTGCTATCAGGGCTGCAGGGGACGAAGGCCCAGGGAAGGTTCAGCTTATGGAATTATATAACCCTGCCTTCTTCTGCCATTTTGTGTACACTGGAAAAAGATAGCGCGCAGAAGAGCGGGTGCAACTTCATATGGACACCAGAAGTACCCAAGGCAATCATGATGCCATTGCAAGACCTGCGCTGCGAAGGTGGTTAAATACCTGCAGCCATATCTTTCTGGTTCTCTTGTGCCGCTGTGTGCACTATTTATATAGTTCCGGTTTGCTAGACTTCGCCCGATGGCGACTCCGGCTAAGCCCCCGACTCTGCAAGCTGAAGCCAGAGGGCCTTCCGGTTAAAGCTAAAGGCCCTCACCCCCAAACTTTAATCGTGCCTGAAATGCGGTTGTGCCACACAGACAGCCTGAATCGGTGCCGGTGCCTGTGCATTGACGAATGCTCAGGTGGCACATCTCCCAGTATCAGCAGTTTTGACGGGTGGCAGTCTTTTCTCTGCTGTTTCTCCTACCTGCACCCCCTTCAGCTGGCGGCATGTGCACAGAAAACACGTTTTCTGCGTTGCCACGGCCCGATGTCAGTGTACGTGAGCCGTGCCACTGAGGCCAGAAGATCTGATTCCTGTCCCACTCCCACTCCGGTTTTCCGGTTTTGAGCCTCGTCCGCTGCATAAGCTCCATGCCCATTGAACGGCCCTAAACTAAGCAGCTGAAGAAGCGCTCAAAACATCAGAAGTCACGGTGCATGTATTTTCCCCTTCGGCGCCGAACGGTCCGTCCTTTCTTGCCACACCAAACCTCTTTGGAATGGCCGATATGCAGCTGGCACCACATGAATGACTACTGGGTCTAAGACATAGGAGTCAGGGCGTGGGGTTCAGTCTAGCATTCACAAGCTGCGGGATACCATATCCGATAACTGCTAGGATGGCTTTGACTTCAGCTTAAGTTGCTTAGGAGCCTCCATACTTCGAGTCTGCATACGGGTTGGGGGTAGTTCATCGTATAGTCAGCATTGTTCTGCAAGGGCTTGGGGGAAGATCTCTATTCCGAACCCAATATTACCCACGTGATGCCGAGAAAGTACAGGCCAACAGGGATGCCTGCGCAGATCCCTCAATCCGGCTGGCAGGAAAAGCCAATTAAAGTGGTCGCTGGCTGACAGATGTATTCCCTGCGTTCAGGGCTTAAGGTTTGGGGCTTAAGGCCTTAGGGGTTAAGTTTAGGTCCCCCGAAGACCCTAAACGAAACAATCAACTAAGATCTCCGCTACTCATACTACTCCCTCTGCAAACGCTTTCCCCCCCTCGAGTCTTAGGGCTCTAAACGGAACACTTACGCCCTAATCGACAGGCTTAGACGTGAGAGTTTCGGCTCTTGGGTGCGAGCTTAGCGGAAGGTAAAGGTCTCCCGGTGAATTATATATATATATATATATATATACAAATATATATACAAATATATATATATATATACATATATATATATATATGTATACATACGCATGTATGCGTATATGTAGCTGTACATGTGTATGTACATGTACATGTATGTGTGTATATATATATAATGGTCATATATATATATATACACATACATGTCTTGCTTCTGTGAAAACTGTAGCTAAAGTAATGAGCCCTCAGGAATACTGTTCCAATTACCATGGCCCGGTTTAAACATGAGGCTGCGCCAAGGGTGCAGTGCACTATGTCAGCAACGACAACAAAAGCACCAGCAAGAGCGTCATCGTTGCCGTGCGCGGAGTTGCCAGGGAGAGCACAGCTGCATCGGGTTCCTGGCTGCTTTCCAGCGGTGGTACAGCAAAAGGACAGTGGGTTCGGGCTTCAGGGTTTAGGATGGTTTAGGAGTCGGGGTATAGGGGGCTGAGGGTTTCAGATATGCTTCAGGTTACAAGGGTCGGGACTTAAGGCCTGCGGGGTTTCGCGTTTTTAGAGAGCTCGAACAGCCTTTTGGGGCGGTATCTCTCCGTTGAATCCCGGGGCTCAAGCATGTACCAAAGAAGGGGCTTCAGTATGAGAATGAAGACATTGCGGGTTGACAGCTCTAGGAATTCGAAGGAATAAGACTGGTAACTATTCCGACCCCAAATGACACTTTTTTTGAGCGAGGTCTCTCTGAAGTGCCTCCACCCTAAACCCCAAATCATCCTAAACCCCAATTACCCCTCCTAGGTACATCAGGCCGGCCTTGGTAGGTGGCGTCCAGCTGTAGTTCTCGTCGATAGTGCAGTTTGGAATGGTGAAGACACGCTGCTGCTCCTGCCGCGTGGGGCTGGATTTGAAGGGTTTCGGGTTTCGGGCTGAGCAGCTACAGCCGTCACAGCCTCGTCTTTCATGCTAGCCAGGATTTAGGGTCTTTCCAAGAAGCTCCAGCTAGCATCGAGGATGATGAGGGTTTAGTATGTACAATGTAGCACTCGCGGCTCACACTCGGGCGGCTCCTGACAGGTTCCTAAACTCTAAACCCCCTAACTTCATCCTTATAAGATTTGGGACTTGCCTCAAGTCTCACCTAACTCTGCTTGCAAGACCGAGGCTCTGAAACTCGATGCAATACCCTGAACCCTGAATCACCGAAGCTCCTAAAAAACAGGAGCCTCCTGAAGGAGTTCAGGGATAAAGGGAGCAATCCAGAAATCAGCAAGAAGCCAGTCGGCTTCCAATCCTGAACCCTAACCCCTATGCGGAACCACCTTAAACCTGGAATCGTCCTGGCTGTCCGGCGAATACCAGGCGGTTGCCGAGTCCTTCCCCGGCGCACTCACGGAGCCAAAGCGCCAGTAGCCTTTGAAGCTTCATGATGTAGGGGCCTTAATGAGTAGAATAGGTTGTGGGGGTATATTATACTAGAATCATAATAAGCAACCTCAGAAAAAGCATTGGTATTCAATTGCTTCAGCCTCCAAATTGGTTCTGGGATTGACAATGTCAGGGAGTATAGAGTTTAGGGAGCAAGGGCTTTAGTGCTGCAGTCTGAGGTTGCATGGAACTGTGTCCCCGCCGACAGGTCTGTCGGCGACTAGGTGCTGGAGATCCGTGCTGGTAACGAAAACCTATGACACCCTTTAGAAGCTGCCCTCACCCTGTAATTGATAGTGACTATAAGGCACTATAAGGATTATATTAGGGCCCTATTATATTCCTATTATACCACTATTACAGGGTGGGGGCAGCTTCTATGATACCCTTGATTTCTCTAGAACGGCACAAGCACCACAAGCTGATTGCAGTTCATGTAGACTAAAGCTTAAACCCTAAACCCTAAACCGTAGAGCTTAAGGTAGTTCTGCAAACCGAGGTCTTGGTGGATCCCCGGAACATGGCGTCACTCTTATAGCGCGCAGCTCTACAGGAGATCTCGATTTAGACAAACCCAAAGCTCAGGAAGGACTTTAACACCTGGACAATGCTATGCATACTCAGGAAGGACTTAAGCCCTAAACCCGAAACTATATGGAGGATGAAGATTGATGGATCCCAGCCGCAGCGGGCGACGTTCACCTGCGCCACGACGAAGCGCTGCTCCGAGGAAGCCCAGTTCCGGATGACGGGGATCTCCTGCCCAGTTGGGTCTCGGGGTTATCGGCTTACGGTTTAGGGTTTAGCGGTTTCGGCGTTCACACTCGGACAAGCGGTTTAGGGTGTAGGGTTTTAGGGTTTTTTTTTCCCACCCGCCCAGCTGACAATGTCGCAGGGCAGGGAGCTCGTTCGAAAGCCTAGAAAACGTCACGTAGTGTTCGTATGCAAGCCCTGAGTCGAGTGAGAAGGCAAAAGAACCAGTCAAACAGCCAACTAACAAAGGGGAGCCATAGCTACACCAAACCTTCTCACTCCAATCGAGCTCGCCTCGCTGCCCTGACAAGCACTAGCCGTCACTAGCCCGTACTTGCTCTACTCAAACAACCGTCAGAAACACGGGCAAGTGGTGCTCATCTGGGCCCGGAGCATTTCTCCGCTATGCACAACTACTCCTAAGCGCAGGCCCCAAGTCCTCAACAAATCCACACTTGAACAAGCCAACACCAAGTGACAACCGTACGCGGTGGGATCAGTTGAGAAGTCGGGCCCGCGCACCTACTCATTGACTACAGCTAGTCCGCGCAGTAACCCTCAAAAACTACTAGAACAGGGACGGTACTTCAGCTGCAGTCAAAGAGGCCTGGTCTGTACATTGGACATCCACAATAGATTGCAGACTCGGAAAGACATTGTATCATACATGCAAACTAACCACTATAGGCTAAATTACTAATTATGCCTCAGTTGCTTCGTCGGACATGTTGCAGCCATGGGCATGGGATCTCAAGCCAGAGCGACTCCAGTCAGGAAGGTCATCTTGTGGAAAAGTCAAACATCCCTGGACTGTTTCCTCTCCAAGCTTCTGCCGAGTGTTGGTGACCTGATATCTTGTCGCAAGAATCCCACGACTTTGTCCGTCAGGCTCCGGAGTCAAGAAAGTTCGCAGGTATGCTCTGAGGTCCTTCCCACAGAGAGTAGGCCATGTGCAGTAGTTCAGCTATCATGCTGTGACAGCTCCGATGCTATGCGAACCACTCTCCGAGAAGGCATTCACCCTACTGCCAGAGATGCACAGTGCTGTATTCTGCATCCCGCGCACGAAAACCAGTTGTTGTGCTGAGTAGCCGGCAGCACAGGTGCCGGTGCCGGCGCAGGTGGCTGCGCTCGGTATATATCGGCATGACTTGTCCTGCCTCTCCAGCAGTCTGGTGTTCGCCGGTGCTGGGACGGTTATATTCAGCCAACTCTCCATAGGCAGGCTGAAGGGAATCGCTAGTGACGCAGCGGTTGGCGGGTCTGAAAGGCCATCCTTGATCCCGAGTCACCATATCCCGGATTCAGTCAGTAGTTGGCGCACCAAAAGACAGAGACGGGGCAGCTCGGCGGGAGAGGGACAGGCAAACCAGGTTTTTCTTTGGGCACGTGGGTCGATAGCTACTTGGATACGTTGACGATCAGGCATGATGAGTGGTTAAATGGCCAGAGAACGACGACGCGAGTGATGGTGATTGGGCACGAATTATTAATTTGGGTAATGCAAATATGACGAATTATAGGGGCATTCGAGGGAGATTCGTTCATGCAAGCTTGTTTTTTTTTGGTTGTTGTTGGGGTGTTGAATTAAGTGCATGTACAGCAGCGCCAATTCCTGCAAGGGCATGGTCTAATTTTTGGGCTCTGAAGGCTGAACTACGTCTTTCGAGTGTCGAGGGTCCCTTGGTCAGGAGAAGTTGCTTTGGGTTTTTTCCGCCTTTGCACTGCCTTTGCTTGGCTCAGTTGGCTTTGCCGCCTGTGCAAACCATTCAGCATACCAAACGCCGCTGCGAATGTGCATATTGCACAATCAGGACTGACCGTCCAGAAAGCCGATTGCAGAACCCTGCAAAAAAAACCACGGGAAGTCTGCCAAGACTTTGCAGCAACAAATTAGAAAATGTAAGAATGGTTCTGGCAGATTATTGCCGCACTTTGCAGGTGGTCGCACAAAACTTGGCTTGTCGTCAGCAAATGACATCTAAACCTATTAGAACCAGCATTCCGGTGCACCAAGAAATGAAGGGAATCTGACCCTTGGTGACAATCCCTTCACTGCCTGGCGCCTACCCGCCAGCCCACAGATTGGGTGTCCACACGCTGCCATCGTCTGAGTCTCGCACAAACTGATGCAAAACAGCTGTAGGGGGAGAGAATTCCTATTCCGCCTACAATGCACGAAGGCAGCGCATGTAACCTGGACCACTGGCTTGTGGGCCATGAATCAAGACTTGCAGTTTTTTGTGTATTTGTTTTCTTGTGATTTCTACCTGACGGCAGTCCTGCACCTGGTCTGTAGCCGTGCATGTGATGCTGCAATATTACCCGCATCCTCCATAACACTAGTGCACCGAAGTTGATGTGCAAAGAACCCTCCCGGCACAGCCAGAGTGCTATGCCCGAATTACCATGCGCAGCGCGGATGTGACAGCAAGAAGAACCAGACGCCAAAGGAACTTGTTGTGGCAACGGTACATGCGGACGGGCCAACGCCGTGGAGCAATGGGCATCGCCTTCTCGTAGCCAAGAAGGGCGAGCTTCCCAGGCCCGGCCGGTCCATAACTCCCTCCGCTCGACGGATCCTCTTGAACAAAGGCATACCCGGCCGGTTCATCACACCCCCCGCTCGACGGATCCTCTTGACCAAAATAGTACTCGGGGGGCCCGTAATACCCTGCGCTCGACGGATACTGTTGCCCAGAGGCATACTCGGGCGGCCAATAATACCCTGCGCTCGACGGGTACTGTTGCCCAGAGGCATACTCGGGTGGTCCATACCCTGCTCTCGACGGATACTGTTGCGCAGAGGCATACTCGGGCGGCCCATAATACCCTGCGCTCGACGGGCACTGTTGCCCAGAGGCATACCCTCCGCTCTGCGACGGATACTCTTGTCCATATTGCCCGTCTGCATGCCCAAAGAGAAGATTGTCATACAGGGTCTTGGCTTCGATACTTGAAAGACAGTCGTATGCCTCCTGGACCTCTCTGATCTTTCGTGTCGCCACCTCTGAAACAGCCTGGCCGTGCTTGTCGGGATGGTACAGCAATGCCAGCGTTTTGTACTGGTCACGAATGTCCTTCTGGCTGGAATGGTAGTCCCCGCCAAGAATCATGTAGTAGTTGTAGTAGGGATCCATGACGGCGGCTAGCTTGCTCGAGGTCCTTCCAAAAGCACGGGAGCAAAGGGTTGCAGTAGCCATTTTGGCTCAAGCAACTTTTAGGGTCTTAGGGCTTAGGGTTTTAGGGTTTAGGGGTTATGGCTTTCCCTGGAAAGGCTTCCCAGGTTTATGGATTTGTCTCCAAGGTGTGAGGCCCTGTGAAACCCCATAAAGCACGAAAGAAATCCCTAAGCCCCAGATAGCGCCTAGCAGTAGCCTTAGTAGCCCCTTCTGGAAACCCAAATGGGTGGTTGTCAAAATTATGGTCCCTTTTTGGGGTCCTTATTATAATACGAAACCTAATATTTAAGGTACCGCAAAAGGGACCCTAATTTTGCCAACCACCCAAATCGGGAGTCCCAGACCACGAGCAAAACCCCATACTGGCAGCCCGTGTAGGAGTTTCCGAAAATGGGGGACCCTAGGATGGTACCCGAAATAGTAGGATCCTTATTTTAAGGACCCCAAAATAAGGTACCCCCAATCTTCGGAAACCTCCATATAGACTGACCAGTCTACAGGCTAGTTGGGCTGCTTAGCTTAGTTCCACCAAGACAAGTCCCACCATAAAACCGCAAATGCACATTCACAAATAATCCCCAGGAGCCCTATGTACACCGATCAAACTTCCTGATAAGTGCTACTTCGTACAACACCCAAGACGCCTAACGTTTCAGGTTTGTTGTGACTTCCTTGTGTTTTTGACACTCGCACGGTTTCGGTTTTAGTGTGAAGGGCTTGGGATTTATGCTGTTTAGGGAGAACGCTGCAAAAAGTCGGGCTTACCTTTGCAGAGTTTGGGGAGTGGGGCTCAGCATGTGGAATTCAAGGCTTATAAGATTCGATTTGAGGATTAGGGTCACGATTTGCATGCGTGCTCACAGTCGGTAGATAGTCTCGCGTTTTCGGTGCAGACTAACCTCTGCTTCTCTTCCATAACTGGAGTCTTAGAGTTTAGAGCGTTCCGACGCTCTCTGACCCAATCAACTTAAACCCTAAAGCTTTAACTTTAACGGCATTTTGGAGTTCCTTGCTTTGTTCCCAGTACTCCAGGGACCTCTATCCGAGAATGAACAGCGTGCCCGACCTCCCCCCAGGTGTTCCGCAGCGTCGTGTACTCCCTAGGCCGGGAATCTTGGAGAAAGCCTCTCTTCCTCAGCATGCTTCTTTTTTTTTGAGGGCTCTTTTCCTTCTTGCTACAGTCGGAGTCGGAATACCCTAGTAGGTAGAGCCTCAACATGCTGCAGGGGTCAGGGTGGAGAGTCTGGGGTTCTTCTTGTTCGCCCCTGCCTTGCTAAACGATTCGCTAGACTGTCTCAGGGTTGGCCCAGACACTTCGGTAATTTTATCATTTTATCATGCGGCCACCCGGCTTTAGGAGGTGGCACCCGCGTAGGGATGGTGGCTAAGCTTTCCTGCGTCCCCATTGCCAATATAAGCGATCACCCCCATCAAGTGCTCCAAGAGCATGCCCCTTTTCAGCATGGGCCCCTAAAACTCTAACTCAATCCCAACCATCCCCAAACCACCAAAGTCTTCCATCTCTGCAGCCTTCATTCTGAAAGACCCAGGCTTTCACCACGGCAATTTGTTCACAGGTTCTGGGGCGATCGTTGAACGGGAGCTAAAGAGCTGAGTGAGCTGAGTATGCTGGGTTGGCCTTTAAACACCCTGAAATATTTATATATATAGGGTCCCTTATAACCCCAAAAATAAGGAAAATAAAAAATGTCCCACAATCCTACCGAGTATGGTTAAGACTGGTCCAGACCTGAAATTTGAGGACCCAAGGGCCTTTACGAGACAGGCTTGGGCTCTACTTTTAAGCATCATGCGAAGGCAAGTCTCAGAAGCCCTTTCCTCGCCAAGAACACCCAAGAAATGCAGTCGAAGCAGGGGGTTTGCAGGGCTCCCGCTGAAGATCTCTGGGCCTGTTTTGTAGTCTCGAATCAGAGGCATGAACATCCAAAACGGATCACAAACCCCTGAAGCCAGGGCTGAGCGCTTTTAGTCTCTGCCTTGCTTTCTTGAATCTGATTTTTTGATTTCTTCTAGGAATCTAAATGCTGGGGCTTCTAGCTTAGGATGTAGAGTCGGTGGTTCCGATCGTGGGAATGTTTCGCGCATTTGGAGATTGCGCAGTTTGTAGACTCTGTAAACCTCACGTTGCCTCCGAGAAACATTCCACCCGTTGGATGAAGGTGGCCGGCAAACACAGCCAGTGTCCTGGAGTAGGGTTCTGGGGTGGGTGTGGAGTTTCGGGCTTGGGTTTATAGTGTATAATGTGGGGGCACAAATGACTTTTCAATAAGATTTCGGGATGCATAGCAGCTAGTTGTACCTGGACAAAAAGGGAACTCGATAAGGATTTGTTCAAACCTCTATATTATGAAGGTGTGGAGTTCGGAGCCGAGGGTCCTGGAGCCCGCGACAATGTCGGAGAAGTAATCGTAGCGTTCCACCTGGCCGGCCCGAAACCCTAACAAACCCTATAGAGCCCTTTAAAGGAACCCTTATAGAAGCCCTCGAGCCCCTGCACCAACTCCACACCTCCCTGGTCTAGCCCTTTGGGGCTTAGGGTTTAGGGTCCCTAAACACTGCATCCGAATGAGGGACCTGAGTCTTTCGTCCTTCCCCACAGATTAAGGTTTGGGAGGTGACCTCTTTGGTTGATGGCTTTGTTCACCTAGGATACATATCTCTGTACGCACCGTTCATTGCAACGAGAAGTCAGCAAAATTTGTGGCAGGGAATAATTCGAACTTTTGCTCCGCAATTTCGGACGTGTCCGACTTCCCTGCGGAAATCTAGCTCATTGACAATGCAAAGAATCTTCCACGCAACAACAGCTTGAATAGTAGAACCCCGAACCGGCGTTCTTCCTGCGCGGACCCCGTACAATTTTTGAAAACCTACAGGAGTCATGCACGGCCCTCTAAGCACCCTGCCTATGAAACCTTCCGAAATCATAATCCGAAGCCCAAAACCGATCGCAAAACCCTCCGATTAGGGCTCTGTATATGGTCGGACTCTGGGCTGTGAAGATAAGGCTAGACCTCAGATACCCCATCCCTAAACCCTGAGCTCTAAACTTTGACTCTTTTTGCTAGAACCCCAAAACCTAAACCCTTTTTCCACAGGCTTCCGAGCCAGAATCCCACCCTAAACTCTAAACCCTGAGCTCTAAACTCTGACTCTTTTTGCTAGAACCCCAAAACCCCAAAACCTAAACCCTTTTTCCACAGGCTTGATAAGTGCTCGCCCGGCCAGAATCCCACCCTAAACTCTAAACCCTGAGCTCTAAACTCTGACTCTTTTTGCCTTATCCCCAAACCCCAAAACCTAAACCGACCCTAAACCCTAAACTCTAAACCTTGAAGTGTTTCCGGAACATCTTGGGGACCGCCTGGCCGTCGTGTGCCTCGGCGCTGAAGTGCTGGCCTGGAGTAGTGGTTTACGTTAACCTACCAATACCTACTCTTTTTTGTAGGGTCCCTAGAAATTCCATATTAGGGCTTATAATAAGAACCTACAAAAAAGTAGGGTTTGGTAGTTTAAAATAGAGTTTAAGAGTCGAAGGTTTCGACTCACACTCTCCAGCTCAAGGCAGGTCTGGCTTTGAACTTGCTTCCTTCAGTTGAATCTTTCAGTTCGCGGTGTTTAAGGGGCTCATGGATTAGTTTTGCGTGCTTTATATGGGTGTGGTAGGTTTAGGAGTAGGGGGCTTTCAGGGTTGAGTGCATTGAGACCACCGGTTGAAGTTTAGGTTTCCGGGCTCCTCGGAGTTGAAAGCTTTCGGATCAACACTATGTCTGGTAGGGCTTGGTCTTGCAAGACAAGGTTTCGCAAAAGTGTGGCGTTTGAGCGTGATTGAGGTCAGGCTCTATCCTGCTTCGGGTTTTGGGGCTGTTTCCCAGCGCGGCAACCCTAGATCCCACACGGAAAGCATGAAAGTTCACGTGGTTCGATTGGACAATCGCAGAAGGACAGTCTTGCGGTCTCGTTGGGCTTCAAGTTGAAACATGTGGGGGTTAGAGCTGGGACGTTCACGGCTGCATGGATCTTTATGGCTAGGGGCTGGGGGTTGCGACAAACGCACGACCCGACAGTAGCGGCCAAAGCATTCCAGGACACAAAGAACACCGCGATGCATTCTAGCACACTCTTCTAGCAAAGGAGGGATCCCCTCACGTTGCCTTAAGCCGTAAAGCCGGTTTTTCCCTCCGTAAACCCGGTTTAGGGCTTAGGGTTTCAACCGTTTTAGCACCAAGTGGCGGGTCTGGGGTCTAGGGTTTACGGTCAAAAAATCCACGCTTCCAGCGAAGTGGCCCACATCATGCATGACCAGCACGAGGTAGTCCTCTGTCTTCTTTGCCTCAGCCACCTCTTTCGCTGCAGGTGTGTTGGTGCTTGTTTGCTACACTTCTCGATTTGTGCTGCTTTTCAGTTCAGGCTTCACGTTTCTAGCTGATCTAGGGTCTAGGGGAGAATAATTCGTACATTGACCCTGATGGCTCCCCACTAGGATTCCACACTGTTCTTACAAAGCACAATCCACCAAAACAGAGGTGGTTTAGCTATTCTATGCGGGCCTCTGTACTAGCAGTAGACATCTTATATTGCAAGCATGTGCTTTGCACCGCTCCAAGACCTGCTTAATATCATCATCCCATGACATGCTTAGCCCAATCCGTACATGCGGCAAACAAAAACACCTTCCAGAGCTCAAGCGGGGTTTCTTAGGAGCGCAGTAATCAGTAACCGGTGATCCAATGTTGGAGGGCCCTGTTAGCAAGGAGTCTACTTTGCGGGTCTGATTCGGGTCCCTTCTGTTCTGACCCAATGCCTATACAAACCACGGGCCGGCTGAGTGTCATCAAGATTGCTTTTGGGGCACTTCTCACCCCAAAGCTACACCCAATAATCCTGCGACTGCTGATAAGTCCTTTCAACACCTTTCAGAAACCCTCGTGCACCTCCTGAGACACACGAGCCCACATTCGCCTCGTCTTTCAGAAAGCCGATCGTGGAGGCCATGCCCGTCAGCTGCTGTCGCCGAAAGGTCGGATAGTTGTGCAAGTGCACCTTGAAAACGGAGCGAGGCAGTTTGCTTCATTTCTTAGTCTTCATCTTAACGGTAACTATTGAGGATAGTTCGGTGCGGCTCATAAGACTACGAACAGTTGAACTGCTATTTTTTCGGAATGCCCTTGGAAGATCTGAGGTTGAAAACTGACCGTCCATTCTGTTGCAGAAGGAGTCCTTGTTCAAAGGTTTCGCGCGATTCTATCTGTGGGTCCTGCGGGGGCGGCGGGGGCGGGGGGTATGCTGGGCCTAGGCACGCAGCAATTAAAGACACGAGCGAATCGGTAGCTTGGTTGGGCTGTAATTAAGCGACCAAAGCAGGGTTATCCGAATCGTAACACTGCTTCTCTCTAAGTGTGTGTGGAAGAGGCAGGGTCTGACGGACTCAAGGTGGGAGGTCGGGAGACTTTACGGCATAAATACACAGAGATTCGGGGGTTTTGGAACCCAAGTTTACGGTTTCGGTGCTCACACTCCACACTTCCAGTGCATGGACGATGCAGGCAGGTGCATACGAGGGTTGTGTATCAAGCAGAGAACACCTACAGCAATTTAAGTTCATAGGAAGGCACGCAACCCACAGCGTGGCTTATACAAATCTTGAAACGCTCACAGCTTGCGCAAGGCAGGAAAAGCCCCAAGGAGCCTTACTCATATTCAGGGTTTGTGGGGACAGGGTTGAGGGGTTCGGGTGTAGGGCTTTGGGCAGCTTGTCGACCGACAGATTCCTATCCAAGCATTTGAAACTGGGGCATCCTCAAGGATTTCGGGGCGAACAGGAGTTCATACAGATTTTGTTTGGAGCCCCAAAGCCAATCTTACAGAACCCTTATAGAAGCAACATCCGAATGCATCCACCGGGAACATGACAAGCAGCTGAAACAGGAAATACACCGAATGCTCGAATCCATGAGAAAAACTGGACCCAACGAAAGAGTCCTTGACAAACAGTACCCTTTCCTGGGCGATAGCACAAAGCGGATGCGGCCGTAACGAACGGTATATGCCGCCGAGTCCTGGCAGAATGTAGTGAAGCCTGCAACATGGGCCCTCAATAATTAGAATGGGGTTTGGGGCGGTATTTTTTGTGAGCCTCAGAAAGTTGGAGCATGGACTAAGGGTAATTATATAGTGCTGGGATCCCTATACATTACCGCAAGGGCAGCAGGATATTGATGTTCCAACTTTCTGGCTTCTACGGTGAACGCTAAGGAGGCGTTTTGGTGCCCTAAACCCTAAACCCCCAATCCTAAACCGTGATTACAGAACCCTGTATTACCATGCAGAACGTAGGACCTGGCCTTTGTGTCTCGTATTGGCATACATATACATATACATATATATATACACATAATTACACATGTGTACATATTATATATATATGTATACATACATACATGTACACAGATTGGCAGATAGAAAGATATCAGATAGGTAGATAGATATAGACGGTATGGGGTGCATAGGATTTAAGCTTGGGGATAGCTCTTGCTGAGGCTCTGGGGCGCAAGAATCCCCGAGCAAAGCCTCTGTTTCAAATTGTAACCCGACCACTTTAGGAGTCCTGAGGATTTCCTAGTATAACAATAACAAGGAGCCCCCAAAATAGTATCGGTATTTAATTAAGCCCCTGTATTTAAGCCCCTGTATTAAGAGAGTTCAGGGTTTAGGGATTAGGAATCCTGACAGTTTCCGACTTGCGGATGTTCTGCCGTGGCTTTCTCGACTTGCAACTAGCCATCAGAACACGCGAAAAATGTCGGGTCGACACAGCCCTGTAGACCCCAAACCCTATCGCTTAAAGCCTAGAGGCCGAGAGTGCCACTCAAGTAACAGTCCGTCCCCAAGAATCATTCTGGTCCTTGTGGTAATGGTCCACAAAGCCACCAAAGCTTTTCACGACCTTAGTTGCCCAGCTCACATGCACAACAACACTACCTTCCGTCGCGAAGAGGGCTATGAAATCCACCAAACAACCTGAGCAGGGCTATCGACTCCCCAAAACATTTTCCGAGGGCTATCGAAACTCCAAACGGCTTGCAAAAGTCTGTAAAAATCCCCCCAAACAAGCCTAAACTACCCCAAACCCGCACCCCGAAACCCTAAAAACCCCCCCAACAAGCCTAAAGTACCCTAAACCCTAAACAAAAACCCAACAAGCCTAAAGTCTACCTGCTCAGCTACTGAGCGACAGTTTCGTCTCCACACTTGCCGACTGCGGCGCGGACGTAGGTCAACCTGAGCCAAAACCGGTTTAGGGTCTACCTGAAGCTACCATAACCTCCTTTTTTGTAGGTTCTTATTCTAAACACGAATATGGGATTTATAGGGACCCTACAAAAAAGTAGGTTTTGGTAGGTCAAGGTAGGTTTCCTAAATTGATCACAGGGCTTGTTTTGGTCCCCTTTTTTCAACTGCGTGTCAAGGGCTTTAGGACTTCATGGATAGTTATATACGAAAAACACGCAATATCACAGTGCACAGAGAAAATAGTTCCCCAAGTCAAGGAAACGGGACAGGGGCCCCGAACGGGTTCTCTTAATTCAGTGCCCTCGAACATGCGCACACGCACAAGCACTGGCTCGCAACCCTACATCGAAGCCCTCCATGCAGCCAAGATGTTACCCGAAAAGCCTGAACCTTAAGGCTTACAAGCTCCCGGCCTCAGTGAACCCTAGCTCTTATCACGCAGGCTGCATGATGTTCGATATCAGGAGAAATCATAAACAAACACCATACCAGGGCCAGTTTGCCAGATGCTCGTGTAAATAGAGAAAATGAAAGCTCTAAGAAGGTCCAGTGGGTCAAAGCCTTCTTCCCTTAAACAACGGTGTAACCTCAAACCGGATTAAGCGAACCGTAGGAAGAGCATCACCAGCATCAATCGGGATATGATTCAGAAATCACTCCTCATCCATCTCCGGACGTTTGAACGCAGAGCAAGGCGAGTAAGTCGAGCCAGCTATTGGACAGATGCACAGAACCGCAAGGCCAGCATCACCAGCATCAGCTGGAAAACGTTTTGAACTTACTATCCCAGCTCCGGCCATTTGAACGCAGGGCTAGGTTAGCAGTTCAACCCACAAAGCAGGGCGAGCAGCTCGACCCGGTCGTCGGACGGATTCAGTGAACAGCAGGGTGAGCATCATGAGCATCAGCTGGAAACCGTTTTCAACTCACTCTCCAATTTCCGGCCGTTCAAAGGCGAGCAGTTCGACCCATACATTGGACGGATTCAGCAAACCGCAGGGCGAGCGTCATCCGCATCAGCTGCAAATCGTTTTGAACTCATTCTCGCATCTCCGGCTGTTTGGATGCAAAGCAGGGCGAGCAGTCCGACCGAGTCACTGGACAGATTCAGCGAACCGCAGGGCGAACGTCGTCTGCATCCGTCCAACGGTACTAAAGGTTTTATAACCTCAAGCAAATTCCACATGCACTCCAGAGCCCTACACTCCAAAAGCAATGAAGCCCGAAGACCCTATACCCCAAATGCACCCAACGTCTAATGCATTAAGCCCGCAACGCACGAAACACCCCAGTCCCCAAACCACAAAACATCTACGTGCAACATCCTAAAAGCATCAAGACGCACGAAATCCCTAAACCCTAGACCAAACTCCACCTTGAAGGACCAAATGACCCTTAAAAGTAGGGCCCTATACCCATATACTATGAATCCATATATGGTATATGAACCTTAAACCCTTTCAGGGTTCATCTCGTCCTTAGGGACAAGGGGAGAAATGCTCGGCCCGGAAGCATTCGCTGAGCACAGCCGTTCATCGCGTAGGGTGCCCACGTGGGCTCCTTTTCTTATATGCTCAGTCAGGGTCAAGGAAGTTTAGGGTTTATCTAGGGTTTAGCGTCTAGAGTTTGGGATTCACGGCGGAGATACTTATTTGCGCGGCTTTCTATGTCAGTTTTGGCTCTCGATGTGTAAACATGTAGGGCCAGACCCTGAAAACACTGAATGGTTTTTGAGGGTAAACTGGCTATAGCAATCTAGGTAGGGGCTTGAGGGGAGATTGTTACTCAGTACTCAGACCTTTGTATTGAGTATATCACAGTGAGCCTTGTGGGGGCTCAAACACGTAAGTCAAGTCCAGGATTTGTGACACTGGTGCCCTATGGCTCGCTCGCGGAGCTAGGTGCCTTGCACTCTTGCCCATTGGGTCTTTAGGCTGTGGAGGAGTAATCCTGCAGGGCCCGATAGGGTCTAGCGATCCTGGGCGAACGGTTTATTGCCGAGCTCAAGGTTAGAAATCGGTTTAGGGTTTAGGGTGTAGGTAGACTAATTATCATATGAAGTCCTTCAGGATAGCGGTCGCAAGTGCCCAGGCTTCTTTGCTCGCGCCCGGCCTCCAAGAGAGTCATGCATCCTTCTATATTGTTGGCATAGTCGTGGTTGCCGAGACCGGGCCAGATAGGCAGCCTCGGCAGCTAGTTTTAAGGAGTTGACAACTACAGCTATTGCAGGCTTATGGGGCTTCTATAGGGATGCATATTCTGAAGTGGGGATCTTCATACTAAGGAGTCAGGGGAACGACATCGTATAGACAAGTCAATCGATGTGGGGAAGCTCCCCCATCGACCTCAAAAGGCATGGATCGTTGGGTGTGCCGGCGGCCAGTGATCTTCTACGAAGTCGTGGGAGTTGTCTTCATGAAGTACCACCCATGGGATAGAACGGAATGCTGCATGCTGCACCAAGTAGGTGTTGAGCTAAAACCCCAGCTCTTGGCTTGGGAGCTGCATGCTCCAGCTGGCTTCCTTGAGTTCTTCTAGCCGGACTATCTACGGTATATGTATATATATATATATATATATGTATATATACACATCACTGCAACACTAACCTGGCACAAAGCCCTCAAGCTCAACACGAACCTAGGGAGGATGACACAATCACTTCTATTCAGTTTGTTGGTGGTGCCTTGACTGGACATTACATGGCCAAAGAGCCCGAATACGCGTGTAGTTCCGCACGCAGCACTCAAATGGCATTTGACAAAGACCCTGAAACCTTGTACTCTACACCTACGCCGTAAACACCTCAACCTGGCACTCGTATGATTGCACCCTCAACCCTAAGCCTTACAGATCATGCCAAGGTCGGCATGGCCCTGAACTGTAACATCGGGGCCCTGACTGAGTCTTATGCTTTTGAGTGTTGAAGGCGCTTCTCAATTTCCCTCCCTGCTACAGACGACCGGCCCAATTCGGGTGGGTGTAGGGTTGGAGGCTTAGGATTTAAGCTATTTATGACTACACAAGGCCATAACAGCCTACTACTGCTGATTCTTCGGACCTGTAGTTTACACTTGTGCACACCGACCCGACTGCTTCGTGACTTCAGGCGTGCGGGTACCCAGTCTGGAGATTGAGGCTTTCGAGTTCTAGAGTTTGTAGGCTATTTGGTTGCAGGCAAACACAGGGATCCAACATCACGGGCCAAACTTGTTCACAGATCTTCTCTGTTACCTGAGCCCGGCACGCGGAACCGGCTGCCCGAGTTTTATGTGGTTTCTGTGGGACTTGCTGTGGAGGCTGGAGGCGGGGGTAGAAGTGGGTTTGGGGCACATTATATAGGGACCATAAGGCGTGTTCTGACTCACTAGAATCCAAACCTCTGTATTAGATCCGAAACTCTGCAAATCCTACAACCCAATCCCCTACCGCAAACCCTCCTCAACCCACTCTCGCCCTCTCCAAACCCCCCAACCCTAAACCCTGAAACCCTAAACCTGCAAAACCCTAACACCCCGAATCCTAAATCCCAAAACCCCAAAAAAACCCTAAACCTCCAGCAGTTCATCACGAGGGGCTTGTTGTTCTTGTTGGAACTCTCGTCGTCCCGGGTCTCCCAGAGCTTCCGATAGGTAAGGTACCTTAGGGGGCTGAAAGTTTAGGGGTTTAAGGGGTTTAGGGTTTTTTATTTTAAGGGCTCCTTTTCGATCTGCAGAGTGCTTTACGAAAGCCCGATTGGGCGAGCTGGTTTAGGGGTTCCGGATTCAGGGTTTAGGATTCAAGGGTCTAGGGGTTTCAGCTAGGGCTTAGGGGTTTAGGGAGAAGCTTTGGGGTATTGGGTTTCCGCATTGACGGCTTAGCGTTGCAGGGTCTGGACAAATGGGGTGCTCCCGACACTCCCTTGAACGGCCGACAAATCAAGCCCAAACCCCAAACTGTACTTGCCAAACTCTATCTACACCAAACCAGATGTGCTGGCTCCTACGCCACAAACCTATGATGTAGAAACCCTAAGCCTTAAACTCAGAATGCTATACCCTTAGCCAGGAAGGTGGAGAACCTGAAACACAATCCCAACACCGAATTTACAATGCAGCACCCGCGAACCTAGACCGTACAGGTCAAACCTCTCGTAGAAGCCGCCTATAGACCCCTCATAGAGCCCTGACAGAAACATGATGCAAAGTCCGAGTACTAGTTAGTAGTGTTGTTGTCTAAACCTTTTTGTGCAACACTACCATAATCTCTCCCCCAAACCCTATTCTAGTCATTACAAAGGCCCTACATGCTTTAAACCCTGAACCCTAAAATCCTTAAGCAATTGACCCCATGAGCCCTAAACCTTGGGTGCTCCCCAAATACAGCAACAGTCAATGATTAGGTTACTATGAAGTGCCTTATATGGCTACATTACATGTAGTCTTCAGCTGTTACTGACTGGGGGCAAATTCCTAACCTAAATCCCCCGCCCCTGAGGCACTGATTTGTCGAGCCAAAAGCCGTCAGATCGCCGGCGATGAACCTCAAGGCTTTGAGGGCTTTAGGGTTAGGGCTTAAGGCTTTAAGGGTTAGGGCTGAAGGCTGAAATGGTTTAGAGTTTGTAAGAATGAAAGTTTGGGGTTTGGGGTTTAGGGTTGAGAAACCCCATGGTTTTGTAGCGCTCCAGTGGTTCAGTAGGTTGATAGTGTCTTGCAAGTTTTTGCAGGGGCTTTAAGGCAGCAAAGGCTGAGGGTTTAGGGTGTAGGATTTGAGTTTCATGGCTTTTCGAATTGCGTATGTCAGGTGTAGAATGTAGAACCCTGAACCTTCAACCCTTAACCTACTGTATAAATCCGAAAACTCGCAATCCGTAAATCCTAAACTCTATAAGCCGAGATTCCAAAACCCCGCGAAAGCAGAGTTGAAGCTTCATCGAACCCTCAAGCAGTAAACTCTAACAGTTGTTTAGGGTTTAGGGGGACAAGGGTCAAGTGCTTGAAGGTTTCTGGGTTTACAGACTTATAACCCTAAGATTTAGAGTTTATAGGCTTCTTTACAACCGTGAAAGACCCATACAGCACCATGGGCCTTAGAAAGGCTTCTACTCGCAAACCTTGCGGTTGTCTTGACTAAGGGCTTCTTATCGGCAATACTCCAGTAGCTAAAAGAATCCTAATTAAGGGGCACCATCGAATCGAACAAGAACTGCGGCACACTGAACCTCTCGACACTCTATCCAACAAAGACAGCGAAACCCGAAACGGTAAAACCTAAACCAAAACACCCTGGAGCCCTGGATCCCGCGTCCCGTTCCGGAGCTCCAAGCGCCAGTTCGAATCCTAAAACACCCCATCAACTTTGTTTAGGCTTTGTTGTAGAACAGTTGCAAAAAGGAACATGTACAATGTAAAATTGCACACGATATAAGACACCTGCCCTCTGTAATCCGAGCAGCACCCCAAGGGGCGTCGCCACCGGGTCCACATCACCCTCCACCCATGACAAACTCTCGAGGGCCTTTCGGGCTTGTGAGTTTGGGCTGGGGCTTAGCGTTGCAGGGATACATGTTTGTTCTTTCATCTGTGCTTGCGTTTGCTATTTGTGGGTTCGTATGCATGGAGACCAACAAAAACCGTAATCGCGGGTTTTGTGGCTTAAAATCTTTGTCCCAATCTGACCGCATCTGAGGCAGTTGACCTCTGATGGTCCAGTCTTGTTTGCTGACTCGCTTTCCTGGATATATTCGGGTTTGCAGAGCTCTTGAAATAAGCTTCTTTTGGGCTGTGTAGCTGTTGGCGTTTATAGCGCCAGACATGGACAAACATGGGTGTTGCATGGCTGCTGGCATTCACCTGGACTGGCAGAGACAACTCTCTGGAAGGTCTCAGAAGCCCTGCATGCCTACCTTACACGATGGTCCATGTGAGGCTTTGCTTGCTTGCTGATCCACACTTTCTCGCATCCATGTGGACTGCAGCGTGTGAAGGTACAGCTTCCTGTTGCCATCCCACAGACTATGCCTACAGCCACGCTCTCTGAAACCTTTCAAACGCATCTCTTCATGTCTTGATGGACCATTGCACCATTGCAGGGTCGAAGACTTTCGCTTTGAGCTCATCCTTCTGGGTTTTGGTGAGCGATGCACTTCTACGAATCAGGTGCATCGGCGGTGCTAGCCATCTTCTCACTTCATTGACTTGCCTGTCTTGCTTGAAAGCTTGAGCCGCCGTCGTCTCGGTGCCGTGCTGGCGGGCCCTATAATGCCCTGTGAACGTCGGTCAAAAAATGCATTCACCACCTAAGTGGCACACTGATGCCGTTCATCCGGAGTAAAATGGTACTGGTACACGAGCTTGTGGCTCTCTCTTGTGTACCGCTTCAAGAAAGTACACACAGCATTTTTGGGTGGCATTTGTTCCCACTTTTCGTGGGGAAGGCCGATGAAGCCTTCAAAGTGCTTCGCCAATGATTCGAGTTGGCCCGACCTGATTTGCTCGAGGATGCTTGCTCCTGATTCGACTCTCAGCCCAAGGTTTGGGCCTTTTCCAACTCCCGCATTCTCTCCCGACTCTACCTTGCATTCCGGCGCCCCTACCTTGCATTCCGACAGAGAAGACCAAGACATGCCCTTCTCGAGCTTCTGCCGCTTCCGCGCCGTCTCTGCTTCGGAAGGTGGCAATAGCGGCAGGGCTGTCGTTTTCGCCGCTCTGAGCATATAAAGAGAAACAGGAATTTTGTACTTCGCCGCGGAGCTTCAAACAGGCAAAATCCTCTCCGAGACTTCTCCGTTTCTCCATGCAAGGCGGAGCCTCATGTTTGCTTCCTTCGGCAGGAATAGCAGAGTACCAAAGAACTCCTGATCCCACGGGTGCCCGGATCGGAGCTACCTTTTGCATCAACATGCGATACCTACTCGGGTTTCTTCATGTAACAGCTCTTGCAAGCGAGGAAAATCGCAACATCACTGCCCTCAAGATTTTGTCATACAAAGTCATGAAGCACGGCGCCCCAATCCTGTGAGACCCTAGCTCTCTACCGAAACAAACTCAACCAATACCGTCCCCAATGCAACCTCGGCTTTAACGTGAATAACCTGATACTGCTAGGTTTAATGTCGAAGTGCATAAGTGTGACAGCATGTGCATGCAACTGAGCTCTCGCAACGAGGCCTTGATGCCCTGGATCATGTAAAAGTTATCCTCCAGGGCGCAGGGCATGTCCATGCGGGAGTCCTCCTGCGGGCCGTGGTGGTGCGTTGGTGTCAATGTGGAGAGTTGTCTTAATGGGGCCGCGGGGCTTTCCGGCCTGAGATGCAATAGCACACAGGACCTTAATTGCGAGTGATTAAGATATGGGAGCTTCCGAAAATAGGGGACCTTAATAGAGTACCCTAAACTAAATAGTCGTATCCGTATTGTAAGGACACCAAAATAAGGCATCCCTATTTTTCGGAAACTCCCATATAGGGTTTTGGGTTTAGACTTGAGCAGCTGAGACCTGCCTCAATACTTCAAAAGCCCCTGCAACCCCCAAACCCCCAATTCCTAAACCTCCAAAACCGAACTCCAGATGCAATCGTCTAGTGCTTTTCGAAATGTCGGAACCTTGTGGCACCAGGGAAGCTGCACATCCGACAGCATGACAACGGTCACATCGCGATTTCCGTTGTCCTGATCTGTGCTGTTCAACGGCTATCAACATGAGCCAACTTACTAGTATACATATATACATATACATATACATATATATATATATACATACACATACATACACATACATGTGCACCTTCGACGCAAGTAGTCATAAGCCCCTGAACCTTAGCCGAAAGACCCAGACCCCTTGCCTTCAGCTCTGAACGAACCCCCTGAACCCTTGTAAATCGCTTCTGATGCCATAGCTAAACAAACTCAAGCAAAACTCCACCAAGACCCCACGCCCAAGACTCGGACAGCGACCGCACAGATGTAGCCAAACACAGGAACAGCGTCTGTCTGTGCAACCCTGTGAGCCGACGAGACTTCATTCGAGAGGTAAGGATGCGCCGTAGGTGCCTGCATAATCCTGCCGTCCCTTGGCCAAACAACCAAACCCTATCAGCCTGCAAAGCTCCATCAGTCACAAATGGGAATTTTCGAAGATTAGGGGTACTGTTTCGGGTACTATATTAGGGTCCCTCATTTTCGGAAACTCGCAAATACACCCTTATCAGTCGAAACTCTTGAAAAACCCTCTGAACACCCTTTGGACCGATCTTAGCCCAGCCGCTGGCTGTGCTCCAGGCCCAAAGGAGTCACCTCGCTTTAGTAAAACAACAGAACGGGCCACCCTGGGAGTGCAGTTACTTACGCTTTCGTGATCTTCCAACCAAAAGAAAACCAAAAAGATCATCGAACACATCTATAGACACAAAAACATCAAACATAACGAAGAAAAACAAATACCGCTCCTGAAAGAAGAACCAGTGTACTAGTCAAATGTAGGTATATGAGCACTGACAATATACGATCCAGGGTTGCTTTCTGTCTTGGATTCGCGGCGGAAGGTTTAAAGTTCAGAGTTTCCCGTCCATGGTCTGGGCTTCAGGGTTTAACTCCATGGTTGGGTCACCAGGGTGCCGACACTTTCGTTGCAAGCTCTAACGCGCTAATGCTTGCTTGGGCTTCAGGGGCCCGAGGATCTTGTAGCTTCGAAGCCTTGTTTGGCGTCTTTTTTCAAATCACGGAGCACACCGCAGTGGCTGCATCCTAGGTAAGGGTTACAGGCTGTGAGGAAGAGAGGTTTAGGTCGACTGCAGAGATGTGGAGTTCAGGGTCTCGAGAGTTTACGGCGTAGCCAAAACACTACCATCAGGATGCGAGGAAAATAGTGTCGTCTTAGTTGCCCTGTTGACCCTGAACCTTACTACTACTGTATAGGGGCCTTAATGCTCAAAATAGGGGTTTGACCATGGTAAAGACATAAGCGGAAACCTGAAGGAAGAGTGCTGTTTGCTAACTATTCAGAGCCTTATTTATCGAGGCCCGAGACCCTTACTTGAGGAATAAACCCTGGCTTAAGACGCTAAGGCGGGCTGCCAAGCTTGCATGTCTTGGGCGACTTGCTCCCGCCACGGCTGTAGCTGCCTCGCATCAGGGTCGGCCAGCAAAGGCTGTTGACATTTAGGTTTTTTTTTAGACATTTAGGGTTTAGCATTAAGGGCTTTAGGGTTGAGGGTTTCCGGGGTTTATCTCTTAAGTCTGTACTCGATTTCGGGCACTGCTTGTGTCAAGCGGGTACCCTCAACTCCCAACCACTCATCCAGCAAGAGGAGCCCTTGTAGAACCCCTGTACAACCCTCAAGGGACACCCGTAAGCCGACAAAAATCAAAGCCCAGAACCAAGCACCTTCAATCGAAACTGTAGACTGGACCTTAAGACAAACCCAACTTCGAGCCCCAACAAAAGCTTTCCAGTGGTGCTTTGACTAGGCAGGGTAAGTCCACGCTGAAGCCGTTGAAACCAAATACCACTGACTTACTATGCTTCGAGTCTGCATTTTTTTCTTGTGTGGCTCCTGCAACAGGCACCCTGGTTTTTTTTTGCAGCAGGCCTCGTTGTCCAGCAGCCCGGTTACAGCAAAGAGCCCCTCTGAGGCACCCTGGGTTAAAACGCAAGCCAAATCCCCTGTCAGCTACACTGAACCGAAGCTGAGCCTTTGGGCTTCGTGTTGACATTGACGCCGTTCTTCTTGCAGAATCCGCCAGCCACCTGCCAGCTCGAAGAGCTAAATACAGGGGCCTTAATAACTAGAATAGGGTTTGGGGGTATATTCATTACCCTATAATTATAATCAGGAACCCCCAAAATAGCATAGGTACTAAGGCCCCTATATGGGAGTTTCCGAAAATAGGGGACCCTAATGTAGTACCCTCAACAATAGGATCCATTTCGGAAACTCCTATATTCGGGCTTGCATTTAGACTCTCGGCCCGAAGGTCCACTCTGTGACGGCTCGCAGCTCTGAGCTCTACAACCCAAATCCTAAACCAGAGACCCTAAACTTACCTTTGGTTAGTAGGGAATTAGAATAGGGTTCCTTTAAAGGGTCCATAAGGGCTACTATAACTTTAGTTTTGGTTAGTAGGGAACGGAAGAATGGTAGTAATAGTAGTTATAAAGGTGCCCCATTCCTCCATTCCCTAGTAACCAATAGGTAAGTAAAGCCAAAAGCATAAACTCCGGCTATGTTCTCAGGACGTCCAGGGTCTTGGGGTTTGAGGTCAGGGTATCGGGCTTCTGCAGCTTCGAAGCTCCCTACACGGAGTCCTGAGCTCGAAAACTTTGCACAAGCCTACTGTCGAGTACGAACCCGGTCAGGACCCTAAGCCCCCAAACCGCATGATGCAAGCAACTATCGACTAGTGAAGATCCTTCCGGGAACATGGCCCCTGCCCATGCAAGTTTGAGGTTTAAGGCAGACTAGCGAAAGCCCCTAAAGCCCATTTAACCAAACCTGCCACCTCAAACTCTGAAAAAAACCCAAGTTATAAACACACACAAAAACCTCGTCGGATTGGCCTCTGACCAACCTTTGGGGCAATCTTCCTTCCAGCACTGACTCAGCGTCCCAATCGGATACCTGTCGACAAACTGGGAGGCACCGGATCAGGCCAGCTTGAATGTTCTTTGCGGTAGATTGTTGACTGACTTTTCTTGCTGTTCAGGGCTTGGGGCTTAAGGTTAGATGACTTGGAGGATCGCGGGGGCGAGTGGGCAGAGCTACCGGGGTCCTACAACATGCATATGTATAGTGTGTATGTATGTGTATAACGGTACTTCTTTAGTACATGTGCGCCAATGTATGTCTGCATATGTATCTGCTTATGCATGCGGAAACGTATATGCCTTTGCACATGAGTTCGCCGTCTAGGAGAACATTTGTGCACATGCATTAGTGCACCTAACGCTGTGGTACTCCACAGATACTGCTGCCCCGAAAACCTAAACTACCCACGGCTTTACGCCCCCACCAGCCCTAGAACCTGACAGTATCTCCCCACAAGCGGATGAAGCGCCTAAATTAAATCCTATACCCTCATCCTCGAACCTTGAAAAACGGTCATCGCTTGGGTAGTATCGGTTCAGATGCCTAGAACTCCAAGCTTGCGGATTGTGGGGTACGGGTTGAAATCCTTGCATTCTGCAGGAAGAGCTTGCTCCAAAAAAGAAAGAATCCACGCTGCCAAAAGCTCCATCCGCGAACCGTGGCCGCTGAGTCTCTGAAGCTCCCCAAGCTCTACATCCGAAACGACTAGAACGACTACCAAGCAGACCAATGAAGAGAAGACCGCAATGCACTCTGACCTGCAGCCGAAACCCTACATTAATCACCAGCCTCCCAACGATATTGAAATCAGCCGTATGCCCCCACACATCGCAAGGTCTTCAAATCCCCGAACCAATGGACCAGAAACCCCTACCCAGCCCGTAAAGGCCATACAATTACAACAATAACAGTAGAACACACACAAGGAAAACAAGAATCACTGCGAAATCTGCCGAGAGGCTCGAATTTGCAGTGCTCCCAGCATCCCACACCCTGGAGATCGAAGCTTAAACCCATCGTAGGGTTCCACGGGCGTTCCTGTACAGTGTTTTCTTTCACGGTTAGTACAGAGGTTCGGACAATGCTGAGCCGCTTTAAACCCTGGACCCGAAGTCCAAGGCATTTAGATCCGCCTACACCCAAACCTTAAGCCCTTAACCGAACACACCCAACCCCAAACCGCAAACCCGAAACCCAAACCGCATAAACCCTAGAAGCATCTTTGGAGGTTCGGGGGGCCATTTGGTGTTTAGGGATGCTGTAAATTCTATGGGGCTTAGTGCATTAAGGTTTGGGGCTTCAACCGCGCAGCTCAGGGTTAGGGGTGCATTGACAAATCAAGAGAGTTGGAGCATCCTGGTCCTCATGCCCTTACGGCAACCTACAGGGGATCCCTGCACTGATCATCCTAAATCCATGTTCCGGCCCTTTTGGGGTTTCTGGAGTCCAACAGGTTCTCGGAGATGGGGCTATATAATCCCCTAAACCCTAAACCCTACATTTCCCTGAATTAAATTGCGCTCGGAGCGTCAGACCACCTGTTCGCTGTGCAGGCCTAAACCCCTAAACCGCATAAAGGCTCTAGCCCTGAATCCGGAAGCTCCTGTTCCCTAAACCCTTCAAACCGGGCCCTAAAGCCTTACCCTAGGCTCCATATACTCACATACACAGTGGCCTGTCAAGTAGTCCCTAATGTCGATACTTCAGAGTCAGTATGCACTACTTGGATACATGGACCCTGAGGCACATTTCGGCCATCCGAGCACCTCAAAGTAGCGACCCTTCGTGCAAAGCGTGATCGCAGCGTCCTGGCTGGGTTTGTTCGCGGTTTCGATGATTTTCTGCGATTCTTTTGAGGGGATCCTTTAAGGCGTCCTTTCAATGGGAAGGGGGGGGGATTGCCTACGGTTTTGACAAGGCTTTCCGGCCTGAAGGGCTTGAGGATTCTCGAAGTTGAACTTATGGGTTCAGGGTTCCCTAATCCTCACTCCTCGCCGGCGCTATGCCGTGCCTCTCTTGCCAGGCGGTGACTGAGAGTTGAAGGTCTATGGAAAGGACTCCCTTAATAGCGATGTAGCTTCAAAACCAGTTGTGTGTGCTGAGGGTTCCGCATTTAAGGCTTCTGAGGGCATAAGACAAGTCTCAGATCCGTCTTTTCAATCTCAGGAGGCTCCAGCTACAGGTGCCACAATGAAAAGCCATCGGGTAGCCGCACTCAGCAGCAGCTGTTTCTTGCTGGTGCCCTAAACCTTAACACCAAACAACCGGCCCCTTTTTTCAAAGAGGGGCTGCAGTGCAGGTGCCCACGGAGCGCAAAGAAATAGGGTTTAGGGTTTAGGGCTTATGGGTTTAGGGCTTAAGGTTTATAGGGTTTAGGTTCAGGCCATGAAACTCGAAGGGTTTGGGGTTCAGGCATTCGGGGCTGAGAGGAAAGGAGTTGAGCAGCTTGCTGTGAGTTTTGTTTTCGAGTATAACACAACATACCCCCTAGTCGAGACCTGAAATGTTCCTGAACCCCCAAAGCCGCCACAACCAGCTGCAACACGTAAGCAGTCAAAGTGCCTCAAACTAAGATCCTGGTAAGTCTAAACCCAAAGGCCATAAACCCAACACCACGGAGCCCAAGGCCCGAGAAATCCTTACAACTCGGAGGGAGCTAGAGCACCCTCAAACCAAACTAAACGTGGCGAATAATCGAGGCGCCCAGACCGAACCATGACGATATAGTCTGGACAAAATAGATGGAAAACCCTAACCCCTAAACCGGAAAATAAAGTTGACTAAGGATGAACGCAGCGCGAACATATTGCAATAACAGAGAAGAAAGCCATGAAGGTAAGCGCAGAAGGGTACGACGGGCTAGATAGGGGGTTGGTAAGTAGAGCAGCTTGTTGAGGGATGTACTTTAGGATGCCTACAAGGAGTCTAGAGTGGTCCTATTGCAGCCGCTAGTTATTCCGGAAGCCCTAAAGCCTGACCTAAGCCCTGCAGCCGAAAGAACGCCTCAACACTAAATTAAACCTCAACGCTTTTATCAAACCCTAAACCGTCCCGAAAGCCTTGAGAAATAAGGAGAACCCGCTTGGAGTGACCTGGTGGTTCTTCAGAATCGCATAGGGGCCCTCCACTTTGCTCTCGTCCTGAAACGAAATCGGCAGCCCAAGGCAAGGGCTGGTGGAAGGTGTATTCCCACTAGGGTTTAGGGTTTAGGGTTCACTCACCCGGCCGACCGGGGAGGTGTCTCGGGTTTACATAGGGCTTGGGGTCTTCTTGGCGTGATCTTGCCTACACCCTAGACCCTAAGCTTATAGGTTGATAGGGGATTTGTGTGGTTCGACGAAGTTCGCTTGGTTTGGGGGGGCGAATTGGACTTCAAACTGGACAGTCCCTGGACAACACCCAACACCCTAAAGCTCCGATCCTTGAACCCCGCAAGCTGTGAACTATCTGCTAACAAAACCCTAAACCCTAAACCGATTCCGGCTGAGCTGGTATCCAGATACTTGAAACCCAAATTAACATCGGAGACTGCGGCTGCAGTTTCAACCAGTTCCTGATTCCTCGCTACTATCCCTATCCCTACCCTAAACCCTCAACCTCGAAGATGGGAGATTCGGGTCGCAAGGGCTTGGGGGCTAGAGTTTAGGGTTTATTTGGGATTAGGCTCTCGCAACTCGGACAATCCAGACGAGGTTCTTGGTGCGCATCGACAAACAAGGTCGGTTCACTCGAGTCCGCTCTGCTTTATTCGGGGTGAGGGTTCAGAGCTACAAGTGCCCATATCCCGGAAAAAAGTCGCGACCACCCTGACAACCTACATACTAAGTGCCCTGTGTCTACATGTTCGGCTGTCATCTTCCCTTTGTGCTGCAGGCTTGCTTGCTTCCCCAAACCCGAAACCTCAAGCCCGAAACCCTAAACCTTAAACCTGACACCATAAACCCGAAAGCATGAGCCCGAAAGCCTGAACCCTAAACCTGACACCATAAACCCTGAACCCTAAGTACCCAAACAGGCCTCCACCTTGCCCACGTCATCCTCGTGGGCGTACCTGGAAACCGGGGCTCTTTTGAGTCATCGATCTGTAAGTTACCCGTCTCTGTCGGCAATTCAGTCCGCCTCGCTGATTCGTTCTGCCTTTCTTTCGTGTGGTTCGCTCTGTTTTTCTCTCTTTCTCTGCTTCTCTCGCACCTCTTCCTCCGCGCATTCCTAGCTTGCTCCCTGCAATATTCCAAGTCCAGGACACTTGTGGGTGACAATGAGCTGTCCGTCAGGGCCAGTTTCTCCCGTGGCCACCGGAATGTCCACGGGATCCGCCCGCGCAGCCTGCAGCGCAGATTTCTCTCGTTCATTTTTGTTTGTTATGTTTTGCGTGTGTGTGTGTGTGTGGGGTTCCTTGTGGCCATATCTTTTATGCAACTCCCCACTGCTTATGTTGCGGCGTGGGGCTTCTATTTCTCTCGGGCTTTGTGTGTCAAGGTTTAGGGCTTTAGGGTTTAAAGTGACGACGGGTTTAAGTAGTGACCAAGTAGATGCTGCAAGGCCTTGTTGAGTCATCTGGTCGAGCGAACAGAGAACGAAAACTCACCACAGCAGAAGCGACGACGATCCTCCGAACAACACAAATTCCAAACAACATCACTAAATCCAAGTAGGGGCTGCATGTCCACTGAGGCTCGAACAGGTTTCGTCATAACGGCAACCATGAGGGCGACCGGGATTAGCATTCAAAGCAGTGGTGCTATGAAGTCTAATTCCCAGCACCCCGTCCACGTAAGGCCAAGGCCCTAAAACAACCCAAAACCCAAAGACTATTCCGCTCGTATAAGAAATGACCCGAACATGCCTTAACGGCGATCCTCATGGTCTTAATGACCTGCATACCAGAAACCAACATTCCCTACAAAAGGGCCCCAAACCGTCTGTCCCTGTCTGCCTCGTAGGCTGCGCCAAACATGCTTCGGGCTTGCTCCACCTCTGCTTACAGGATTCGGGGTATGCTAGGGTTGCGGGTTTAGGGTCTACACCCCTAAGCTGCACACTAAGGAGCTTCTTATATCATGTGCACACTAACTTAACTTACCAACCATATACCCCTGTAGTAGAAAAAGGTAGACATTCCAATTGTGGGGCTTTCGGCCTAACGTGACCGACCCAGACAGCGATCCTCCTCACAAAAACATCAAGCTACATGTTCCGGTTTGCAAACTGTTCCCGAAGCTATGGAGGTCTTCTTCTTTCGTGGCCCAAGCAGAATTCTCAATTGATGGGTACTGGGCTCTGTGGAACTAGCTACAAGTCCTACGTAAGACGCAACAGTAATTATAGAGCAACTCTCGACATGCAGGAGAAACAGAAATCTTGGCTGATCCCAGCAACGTATTCGTAAGCCTAAACAACATGACATCACATCCGTTAAACCCCGTGAAAACCTTTGCCACCATATAAACTCCACCCCTAAACTCATTGAACCGCACGTAACACAATTCTTTTTGAACAGCCTTACAAGTCCCAAACCGTAAGGCCTTCTCAGTTGCATTCAAGACCTTGCCGGAGGTTGCCATGGCAGCAGCGGCGGCTGCATCCTCTTCGTCTGATTGGCCAACACAGGGTGTTTGAAAACGGCTTTTAGGACCGCTGTACTGAGCTCTTCTAAAGAAACCAAGGGCATCTTAAAGAGGCTTTTCGGAAGGCTTGCTCTTTCGTGTTAAGCTCAAATTGCAGATTTTTGCATAGGTCGGTTTTCCATACAAAGCACTATAAACTATAAACCACCCCTATCGCTTTGTCATTTAAAACAAGGATCCTAGCAGCTAGGATCCACAAAAAGGATCTCCTAGCCTTTCTGATCCATAGGCTCAACACAGTGAGGTCTCATGTTGAGGACTTGGGTTCTCTAAGGTGCCGTACTATAAGAATAGGGACCCAAAAAGGGACCATAATTTTGACCACCATCCATCTATAACCCCAAGTCCTAGTCCTAGATAAACCCTGCTGCTAGATGGGAGTTTCCCAAAATTAGGGTACCTTTTTGGTGGTCCTTATAATAAGGATCCTACTATTTAGGGTACTATATTAGGGTCCCTTATTTTCGGAAACTCCCAAATTAGGTTCAGCATGAAACCGAACTGGAGTAAAAAGGGGAGAGTATGCTAAACCCCGCTAGTGGGATCCTCAGCCGTAAACCCCGGTCGCTCATCCTTGATGCACTTTTGGGGGACCAATAACCGGTATCCTATGCAGGCTATATCGAGGTCTTCAGACTACTGCATTCCCATAGTTCGATCTACAAGAGAAGTAACTCCGAAACCCTAAACCCGCTTAAACCCCGAATGGACCTCCATGGCTTCCACGGAAATCTCGATCAATGACTCGCTACGATGCAGGGCATCAGCGCGGGTGAGCATCGTCGCATACTCCTGACAATTGGTTAGGCTTAAAGCCTAGTAGGGGCAGGAGGCCTATCCACCTGTGACTACTTAAGCATTTACAACTGTAATTAAGCGGATCGTGGTGGGATTTGGCTTGGGGCTTGGTAAAGTAATCGTTGACAAATGCTTCAACAGACCCTCACCATGAACTCTTGCAATAGGTGGCCATAAGGATTAGAACAGGGTTTTGGCGCAATGCACTAGACATCTAAGAGGACTATACAGCGGACAGTTGAACTAATTCCCTTCTGTACCTCAGATTCCCATCGATTCTTCGACCAGAGGCTACTTTGGTGGCCTCTAATTACCGCCCACCCCTATGAAATCCTGCACCGCTTTCAATATGTAAAGCCTGAACTCATTCCTCATCCCCTTTTTGCATCCAGGCCTATTGCGACTGCGGGTACCCTGAAGAAAGAAGAAACACACAAGACATAATGCCGTGCATGCGACCACTCTCGACGGCATCTAAACCCTCAAACCACAAATCTCTTACACATCGGCCCTGGGCCCACAACCCTAAGCCCAAAGCTCACGAACCCGCAACTTGGCCCACAACCCCAAGTCTCAGGCCACTAAGCCCCAAAGCCCCAAAAATCGTGATAATTGTGACGCCTGCAACTCTTCGACTTCATGAGACGCTCAAGAAGCACCAACAGATTCCGCTCCCTCCCAGGCAAATACCTGGCATAGGGCCTAGGGTTCTTTACACTTCGGAAAGTAGGCTTGGAGAGGTACATCTTAAACGAGCTATAATGAATGAGGCCCCTTACCAACAGCGTTGGTAGCGCTTCAGACCCCTATAACATACCTTGGTTTGCCCTTTAGGGCCATTCAAGACACCCTTGGGAACTAAGATCCTCTAGAGGCTTGCCCCACCCTTCGGAAAAATCGTTGCCGCATCTCGCCAGAACGTGCTTGAGTCCTCGATGCTGAGAAACCCATCCTGGAGTCGGGTTTTATTTTAAGGTGCAATAGCCCCTGTCTCCACTGCGGTAGAGGCAACAGCTTGCTCTAGTGGAGTAGGGGTTTAGGGTTTTAGGTTTGGGTCTAGCGTGTCGGGGTTTAGGGCTTACCGGTTTATGGCTGGGGGGTTTAGGGTTTAGGGGAGTTTGGGGTTTAGGGTTTAGGAGCGGGACTCCGGGACCTCGAGCTTAGACTTAGATGTAGGGGCCTTTATGGGTAGAGTAGGGTTCCGTTGCGGGATCTTGTGCAAAAGACGCAGACTTAGATATAGGGTGCGTTTTTGTCACTCGTGCTCGACAAGTCAGACGAGGTTTCGGGCAAGACATAGGGTGCTTGCATGGAAGTGAATTTAAAGTCCTTTGGGATTCTTTTACGGGTACCGGTCTTAAGCATTTAAGGTTCGATGCTCTTTCGCCATATGGTGATCCCGTGACGGAGGTTTGTCTTGCTCAAACGGCAGCCTCCAAACCCTTTTGCAACTGGACTCAAGTCTAGCCAGTCTACTGTCGGGTCAAGCCTCCAAACCCCGCAACCGAAACCCCATTCCGACAACCTCCGGTTATTGCAGTTTCTGGCGCCTCGTTGGCATCGGCGTCTGCAATCAAACCTGGGTTGCCGCTTGTGAGTTTGAGGCTTTCGGGGTGGTATAGCCCCTTGATGAACTTGAGATTGGGGGTTTCGGGGTGAAACTCGAAAGCCCTTTGTTTAGTAGCTTGTAGTGTGGCGACCCGTAATCGCAAAGCACAAACCATTTGTACCGGCTCCTACGCCCTAGCTATGGACCTTGACTGGTACATGAAACGCTGAACCCAAAGCGCTAAGCTTTAAACCACGAAGCGCTAAACACTTGTACTACACCACTGATGCTAGGACGCTGAGTTCCAGCAGCCTGAAGCCGTAAAACCCGAGACCCTGAACCTTGAAACCACCAAGCCATAATCCCGAATCGTTAGTATAGGTTGGAAACAGTTGGAATGCTGAGTTGTTAACGGTCATTATCCCGCAATAAGTCCCCGACAGAGCATACCATGATAAATCGCGAAGCACCGTTCGAACAGGTCTCCACCCTAAACCCTGAACCCTGAAGCCTACGACCCTAAGGCACACTAAAGTAATTGAGCCTTGTTAGCCTAGGAACTTGGTTTATCATTGATATAGCGGCTGACAGACTTATGTATTTTGTCGTAGATGAAAGTACTGTATGATATAATGATGTGACGAGGGCTAGAATGACTAGAAGGGGAAATGATTCAGCTATTCCTATCTGCTTGCAACCCGATGCTAAATTGATCCTGCACCGCAAATCATACCTAAAACCTAATTATTTACCTATAAACCGGAACAAGAACCCAGAAAACAAGACATGGGAGAGAAGCCCAGAGCAGCAAGGTCCGGTGACTCTGCAGTGTCAAGGAAGCCATCAAAGCTGGGGCCTGCGTCCTGCAGAGGGCTGTGGGGGTTCAGGGTTTAGGGCTTTGGGGTTTAGAGTTTAGGGTTTAGGGTTTAGGGTTTAGGGTTTAGGGCTTTGGGGTCTTAGGGTTCGGGTCCTGTTAAAACCAATCGCGGAGGGTTTGGCTTGCGAAATGAAGGCTCGACGCATTCAGGGTTTTGGGGGTCGAGGATGTTGGGTTACAAGAAGGACTACAGGGCTCGTAGGGTCAGTGGTTCTCCAGGGACGTACGGCATTGGGGGATCAGGAGTTAGTCTTGGAGCATTGGGAGCAGTTAATTGTGGGTACCAGTCCCAGCAATAGCTGTTGATTTAGTGCTGTTAGTGGTGTTGGTACAACGACAATCCGGGGCCCATAGACCCAGGCATTTGCTTCAAACAAAAACCTGATATCAACCATGATGCACGTACATGCCGAGGTGCGAGGAATTCAGTGCTCCGTCCAGACAGCGCACCGTCTACAATCAGTAGTCATATACTACAGGAGCCTGAATGGTAGGCAGCTGTACCGAATACCAGGGTGCTCATAGATGCACTTTCGGGTGAAGCCCGCAAACCCTGGTCTAACTAGGCCTCTATGTTTGCTGCAAGCCTGGACCCAGTATTGCTCCGTTGATGCTGCGCAGCCGAATGCCTTTTTGTCCTCCTGTTTGTGCCCTGCATCAGAAATCCAGGCTATTCTGGCACAAGCCTACGTTTTGTTAGAAACATGCCATAAGACTGGAAAATTACGCCTGGGTCTAGTATAAGCACCATAAGGGGGTATATAAGACAATATCACACTCAACTCCAACTACTTTCCCGGAGCACTCACTGCCGCCGGGGAGGGCAGAAAGCTGTAAGCGTAGCTAAACCTCGGAGGAGGAGGAGGAGGAGGAGGAGGAGGAGGAGGAGGAGGAGGCTCTAAGGTTCTGGTTTAAGGTCTACTTTTTCGGTTGAGGGTGCAAAAAGAGCGAGAGACAGAGAGCGAGAGTAAGAGAGGGACAGAAGGATAGAGATAGAGAGAGAGAGAGGAACAACAAAGAAACGCACACACACACACACACATAGTAATTAAGACCGCAGGGACACCGCCAGTTCCCAAAATCTTGAGCCAAATCTGGAATCGCAAGCAATTCGAAATCCTGGGCGGGCGTTGCAATCATCATTGAACCAGACACGAACACTAAAATCCCAAAATGCGCCCTACATCTGACGACGCTACTCCGTAAAGCCTAAGCCTTAGCCTAACCTGAACCCTGAATAACCTACCTTTTTAGGGCTCCTTGTTATTAAGAGTTCCTTACATAAGTCCTGCTAAAGGGTAGGTTATTCCGGGTTAAGGAAGACCCTACACCCTAAAGCCCGAAAAAACTCCCAAACCCAGGATCTCCAAGCACCGAGGACCGGAGGCCCGCACAGGCAGAGTCCCCAAGCTTATACTCCTCGGACTGGCCCCCTAAACCCTAAACCCTAAACTACTTAAGCTGTTTCATCCGAAGTGGTAGAGGGTTTTGAGGCGTAGTATGCGAAACTAGAGCGGGGAACCGCGAACTACTACCAGGCTGATTGTTCGAATCCCTTCGTTACGCCTCAAGACCGAAGCCCCTCATAAACCAAAGGGGTGAGGGCCTTGGGCGTTGAGGTTTAGCCACTTCACGGTTTCCGCTAGTGTATCGAAGCAGATTTTGGAGCCGGGGTATATTGCAATGTCCCTACATCGACGGGGGGGGGGGGGG